CGGGGGTTGGAATGCCCTGCCGGGGCTACAGCCATGGGGAGCAGAACACAGCCTCTGCCAGACGGAGCCAGGGGATAAATATTCTGACTTTGATCCTGCTGGTGCCTCCCTTTGGGTCAGACCCATCTGCAAGCCCAAAGCAGAGGCACCTGAGTGACTTCACTGAGTGTAGTCCACAGAGGTCAGCCTCTCAGGAATGGAACAAGGGGAGAGTGGATTTAGAGGGGAGGCAGGGTATCCAAGCAGAGCAATTCCTTACCCCCCCTCCTCCCCCACCATTCACTCTTGTCCTTGTTAAACTCATGTTCCTATTGCTTAATGGTTACAGAATTTGTTTGGCGTAATGAAAGAGTTTTGAAAATAGATCATGGTGATGATTGCACAAATGCCACTGATTGTTCACTTTAAAGTGGCTTGTTTTATGTTATGTGAATTTCACCTCAATACTTAAAAAAAATTAAGGGGTAAAGAAAGCTCATCCCTAACAGGGAAAAAACAGTCTCATCAGCCACCATATCCTTGTCATACTCACCATATCCTTGTCATCCTTCAGTCACACTCACCTGGAGCCTAACTTAGTCATCATCAAGGCTCTATCAGTCAGACAGCAGAGTGGGGATAACAGCAGAAACCTGCTCCAGCCCCGCTTCTGTAGCTGGTCACGAGGTCTGAGTTAGCAGTCACGCCTTCTTCCTCCCACCCCTTCCATGCTCCTCTCACCAGCTGCCAGCACTTTGGCTAATCTGGTTCTTTACCAGGTGTGTGTGTGTGTGTGTGTGTGTGTCCTAAGTCTTTATTCCTATGCGATTCATGTTCTTATTGGTCTTTGGTCTATTGGGTTGCCGTTTCCCACTGTTGTTATTAGACATGGGAGATCTGAGAGGTACCCAGTGAATCCTCTGGATTCCAGACGTGGCCTTCCTGCCCGCCCCCCATTTTCCAGATTCATCACTCTGTCTGGTACAGTTGATGCCCACTCTGCCTTTTAGTTAAGCAACATACAGAGCTCAAAATGACCAGAAGAAGACTCTGCTTCCAGTTTCAAGGAACCACATCTGTGTTGCCTGGAGAAAGTATTCCTCGCTTGGACACTAAGGGCTCCAGACTCACTGAACACAAAGTTGAGCGATGGACAGCAAAAATTCCTCCAGGAGGTTAATTGGAATAATAGTGAGAGGAGCCACCTCCACTTCCACCCCTTGGTCCCTGGGCCTCTGCATTCTGGCTGTGAGAGAGGTGGAGCCACTGATTTTATACTGCATCCTACACGTCAATAACCTAACCTTGAAGGTTGCTGTCTCCCAGCTGGCGCTGAAGGTTTCTCTATCCAGTCAGCTGCTTTTGAGCGATGGGGCACATTGTGCGTCCAGTGCGTTCCATGGGTGAGACCACTGCTATGTGCCCTTCGCCGTAAGATGAAAATAGGCAATGTGTGGGATAGCATAGTGACGAATAAGCAAGTCCAAAAATGATGAGGCTGGCAGAAGCACTGCAGGCAGGGAAGCCAAGTCCGGAGCAGGAATACATATTCATTACCATGAGGTCATAGATCCCTTATGAAGGAAGGGGACAGTCAACCTACCAATAGGTAAGTAGCTGTTCCCCCTAGGGCAGTGGTTCTCAGATTTTTTAGGTCTCAGGATCCCTTTACACTCTTCAAAATTACTGAAAAACTATACTCTTAAAAATTGCAAAGGGTTTTTGTTTATACAGTTTATATCTATTTTACTGGATTAGAAATTAAAGCTTTAAACTATTTATTTAAAACTAATAAACCCATTACATAGCAACATAAATATAATATTCTAATGAAAAATAACTTTCAAAACAAAAATTGTGAGAAGAGTGGCATTATTTGACATGTTTGCAAATCTGTTTAGAGTCTGGCTTAATAAAAAAGAGCTAGATTCTCAGATCTACTTTAGCATTCAGTCTGTTGCATACACGTCGTTCTCAACCCTGCTTCTGCATTCAGTCTCTTGCAGTATCACATGTCATGTAGCCTCTGGAAAATTCCACTGTACACTCATGAAAGAATGACAGTGAAAAAGGCAAATACCGTCTTAGTATTAACAAAGTAGATTTGACCTCATAGAACCCCTGGAAGAGTCTTGGGGACCCCCAGGGCTTCCTGGTCCACACTTTGAGAACCGTTGCCCCAGGGAATAGTGCCATACAGGGATCCCAGCTTGGTCTTTGCAGCTGGCAGCTTGGGCACTCAACAGTGCCAACTGCCCAATCAGATTTGGTGAGGGAAATCTGTTGAGTCTATGTGTACTAGCTTTATATGGCTGCTGTAATAAATTACCACAAACTTAGTGGCTTAAAACAACACAAATTTATTATCTTACATTTTGGGAGGTCAGAAGACTGAAATGAGTTTAACTGGGCTAAAATCAAGGTGTCAGCAAGGCTGCAGTCCTTTCTGGAATCTCTGGAGGAGAATCTGTTTTCTTGCCTTTTCCAGCTTCTAGAGGCTGCCTGCATTCCTTGGCTTGCTGCCTCTTTACATCTTCAAATCCACGGCCAGTAGAATCTTTCTCACCTCACACCACCCTGACTCTGACTCTGCCTCCTGCTTCCACATTTAAAGACCCTTGTAATGACACCGGGTCCACCCAGGTAATTCAGGATAATCTCCCTATTTTTAAGGTCAGCTGATTAGCAACCTTAATCCTATCTGCTACCTTAATTTACCTTTGCCG